AATAGCTCCCACCCCGGTGTGGGCATGATGAGGCGAGGACTCCCCCCTGATCTCTCGCAGGCCAATAAAATCACCTAGGCCCATGGTGACTTGTGTGGTTGGGAACGAATAATTAATAATGTATGTAAAAACCTTTTTCGCCTCTCTAGTAAAAAAAAAGGGCTCACTACCGATGCTACTGAGTGGGATGCGGGACAGGCCACCGGTCGGACTATTCGTTGTTTACACACTGACTTAACGATGGCAGGCCTCTCACTCTCTGCTACTCACAATAAATTATGGTTCAAGGAACAGAGAGGGTGTACAAATGTAACGAGCACGAGACAATAAATGCTCTTGTACGACGGTAGAAGGGTTGTAAATTATTACCAAATGGGCGAGGGTGTTAAATGGTGTTTACTAGTTTATTTTTTTATAATTTTATTTTTAGCAATCCAAGCCCTTTCCTTCACTTTGGAGTTTGGAGCTAAAAAAAAGCCAGAGAGCCCAATGAAATTCTCCGGGCTAGACGCGATCCAAAAGAGCCAACTGGGATTTTTTGCTCCAATCTGACAATCCTGATTGCGACTAGATCTATGTCTATTTGGACACCAACACGATCCTGTGGAGCATCAGCCCCAGTAACCTCAGCCCTGATCCCTCTAGGGTCATGTCCGGTAAAACAAGGGAGGGGGTGAGAATAGCGAGACATACCGGGTGAGAATAATGGCTTCCTTTTTCTTTACCTTTGTTTGTGAGATTGAGATTATATAGATCTATTTGCTGCTGTTTATCTTTGGGTGTTATAACTATCACTCTGGCTCTTTACTATCACTCTGGCACGGGCATAGAGATTATCATGTCCCCTTCCCCCACCCCCTGATCGGTAGTTTGTCAAAGTTTAGGGCTGTGTTTTCTTGCAAGTTAAAAGCTGTGTTAAGAGTCATTACAGTCGACAAGTATTTTTTATAGTCTGAGGTTTTAACTTGAGACGACTGCTATAATGGTAGGAACAGCAGAGTCTATATCTTTTATATTTATATAAAGGATTAAAGAGTAAGGGGAACGGGTGAAGTTATAAAATGGAGAAGTTTTAGATCTATATATTTACAGTATAACACGGATAGTTTGAAATCACGCATCTGTTGAACTGTGCCTGTGGTCCCTTTTTTTTCTTCTTTATCTTTGTAAGATAGCCTATCACTCGAACTACCGAGGCCGGTCCTGACAAATGTGAGCTATCCGTGTTATATTGTAGTTCGATGATGTATGTATATGTAATATTTTGCTAATAAACCGTTGCCGCATTTTGCCTGACAACATGGCTTTCCTTTTTCACTTCTCATAAAAAAATTTTCAGCTCGTGATTTTTTGCTTTTAAACAGATGCTGCTATTCATGATATAAAGTTCAGCCGTTTTACCTTGGTTAAATGAAGGGAATCACCTTCATAATCATCTAGATACAGTGAGGTACCAGTTTAGTACCAGCAGTCACCTTATCAAGTCTACCATGGCAGCTTTGACAATCCTTCACTTCAACGATGTGTACAACATAGAAGGCCAAAAAGATGAGCCCCAGGGAGGTGCAGCAAGAATGAAAACCTACATTGACTCTCAGAAGAAACTTGACCCTCTGGTCTTGTTCAGTGGTGATGCCCTGAATCCTTCCCTCAGTAAGTACTGCACACTGGGGTGTTTTTTTCTTTGTGCTCTTTTCTTTTTTTCATTCGGTCGCTTTAAGCTCAAGGGGGGCTATCCCGAAAAATGCTGTTTGAGAAAATTGAAGGTAAAGTTTTTGGCCCTTGTTGAGTTTCTTTTAAAGACCAGGACAGTTTTTTAATATTTACGGTACTTACGACATTATTGTTTTACTTCCAGTGTTCCGGTAACCTAATTACGGTCTCGCTTCGTTTCGCTATTGTCCTTGTTTTTTTGTCAGCACTTCGAGTGTGCTGGTCGCAACATGAGCCATTAAACCTCTCTGCTAAATTCGCTGTGTTCTGTTATCGGTCCTTCCTTGTATTCACGAAGTGATAGAACAAACACGACATCCTACAGGTAGGGCAATACCCACTTTTGGTGTAGGTCAAGATTTCTGGAAACCTCCGAAATCTAGGTTAGCCCCCTTGTCCTTAAAAGCGACCATTATATCCCTTTCAGTTTTTCGACAACATTTTAAATTTCCTAACTTGAGATGCCCAGTGCCATTTGTTTTAAAGTGGTTGCACCCCTTTCAACGTTTAGTAGATGACTTGGATTTATGAATTTCTCAGAAAATCATGAATTTAAGTTGTGCGTGTTAAAAACCTGGTATGTTGTAAATGTAAACTGTAGAGGGAATACTGTTTCATTTTGTCATTGTTCTAATTTACATGAAAATATGAAGGTCTACTTTTTTCGGTTAAATCTGTTAGCTTTCTGGCAAATTATTATTTGTTGTCAGACAGGCTAGAGCTTGATGGCAAGTAACAACAAACATGGATCATGCAGATGTCAGTGGCGTTTCTTTTGATTATAACTCTTTGAGAAAACTTGTCTGGGGTTGCATTCATCATTTCGACTCCCGATTTTAGCACAAAAATTATGTTAGGCTCTTTTTAGGAAGTAATTTTCACTGAATTGCTTGTTTTGCTAGTAGGCTTTATCTTGCTAATTCTTCTGGCGCTCAAATGACCTTATGCAGTTGCGAGCGCCGTAAGACCTCTACTAAAACTAAAAGAAACCACACTCACCTTGAAATGTGTCTCATTTTTTGCAATAGCTTTATTTTCTTGGGAAGAATGCTGTATATCAAAAGTCTCAATTCATTAAAGTAAAATTATATGTTGTGTTTTTAAAATTTTCAGTGAGCATCTTCTTGAAGGGAGATCAAATGATCCCTGTGCTAAATGGCCTCGGAGTAGATGCTGCAGTTTATGGCAACCATGACTTTGGTGAGTGTGAAAAGTTTGGCTTTTTTTACTCATCTTTAAAATTTCCGGAATCTTATACAGTAGTCTCCGCCTAAGATCCCGGTGCTCGGGAGCAAGGAAAATGGGGATCTTAGATGAACGTGATCTTACCGGCGTAAGGGGTGGGATCTTAGGCGAAGACTATTGTAGTTGGAAATTTTACTACTGATGAGTCGCTAAGTTGGCAGTTTTTTTCTTTTTCGTAGGATTAGATTTCTTTGGAGGTTATCGTTTCCTAAGCTATTGAAAGGACTGTTTAATAATTTTTTTTTCCATCCACAATGCTAACTTAAATGTCATTATGGGTCATTAAATTTACTTTAGATGTTTCCAATTTTTCAAGGCAGATACGGAATGTGTAGAGGACTCTCTGTTTATATAGAATTACTAATCACTGTAACCTTAGCTAAGATGATCCTGCAAGGCAGCGTCCAGGGAAAAAGGAGCAGAGGCAGACCGAAGAAGAGTTGGGAAGACAACGTCAAGGAATGGATAGGCCTGGACCTCAAAAAACACGCCCAGGAAAGCTGAAGACCGGAAGGAGTGGAGAAAGCTAGTGGCCAAATCTTCAAAAGTGCCCAGATGGACATTCAGTCTACGGGCTATGTGAAGGTGATAGTGGTAACTTTAGCAAACATTCCGATTTGAAACTGATTTAGTCATTTAGAACAGCACTGAGTAATCATATCCTTTGGGGTTTACCTGGTTTTCAGACTTTGGAGTGGACCACTTGGAAGAATTTGCTGACCAGTGCAAGTTTCCGTGGCTCCTCAGCAATGTAAAAGACATGGTGAACAACGAACCATTGGCTCGAGGAGAAACCTATCTCATGATTGAACATGCTGGGATCAAGGTTAGGTCTTGGAAAATCTGGAAATTATAATAATTTATTATTTTTTGGGTCTCGTGTCCTGAGTTTGGTGCCGATATTTTATAGGTTACGTAAAAATGTATTGGTATGGTGCAAATTGTTATGTTTAAAAAAACAAAACCAGAATAACACGAGATAATGAGGAATTGTTTAGTCGGTGATGATGGTGATAATGGTAACGATGATGCTCTAATGTTGGAAATAATGTGCATGTTAATCTTAGTGTTAAGTGAATTTAACTTTTTGTTTGGCGCTTACTCTGGATCCCCGCCATGTTGCTAACTCCAACTTTTCTCAATCTAGGAGCGTATCTCTCAATGAAATCACGTCAAAATTATATCAATAGAAATGTTGTTTAATGTAGAATGTACGCGCAGAAATTCATGAAGAAATATTCATAAATAAAAAAGTTATGGAAGGTAGAGTGGGATCACCCCTGAGCAGCCTTGGCTCATGGGATTTCCCCTGGCACAGGGGCCTATTTACCTGCAGCATTGAAGGGGTTAAATGTTAAAATGTGTCGTCTTATAATCCTGGTTTGTGAACAGGGTTGAGCATCGATATCTTGAACACGGTTGGGGTTGACAAATGCATTTGACACATCCATATTTCGAGTAAACCGTAATAGGGAAAAATAAGAGAGATATTACAGGGAATCTTGGGAATACTGGGTGTTTAGTTTTAGTATAGGTTTTACGGCGCTCGCAACTGCATAAGGTCATATGAGCACAAGAAGATTAGAGGTGTTACAAGAGAGTAACAAACATAAAAAAGAAGAAGGGGAGATAAGGAAGATAGATTTTTCATAGGAGAGAAGAAGCAAACCACACCAGAGCACCCGCCAACCACCCACATGTATTTTTCATTGGGCATGCAGGGAGAATTAAATTCAAGATGAGCTGTTTGACACATTTGTGCGGATGATTGAGAAAACGGTGCTTCCTATAGAAGAAAATTTATAGCGGTTCAGACCGCAAATGACATGTGTGTGTCATGACATGGTGGAATCAGGCACACATCAATTTTTTGAGCATATGGGGTTATGGTATCATCTTATAGCCTGTTCATTTGCCTTCCTTTTGATGAAAAAAATACCCATCTGTCTTGAATAGAAGTAGAGCTATTTGCGATTGAAGGAAGTCAGAGTCGCTTGGTTTTTAAAAGTAAAATTTGTGAGAAAATGGCTGCCAAAAGTTTGGTAACTTCCATAGCTTGAGAATCCTTGGAAACTGAAAATTTACATTCTTTGTGCCTTTAATCAATTTTTTTTTAGTGAAATCCCCACAAAAATGTGTTTTTAAATGGATATAAAAGGTATTGAACCAAAAAAAGAAAATTAGAACAAAATTGCCCATTGGCCAAAAAACACCGATTTCTTTGATTTCATTATATTTTGACGGACGCCTGATTTCATCATGATGCCTCACATAATGTTTGAGCTGACACATATTTTGCTTTTTGTGTGTTTGAGTTGTCTATGCTTCACTGAATATCCTTTCTTGAACTGAATTGGACAGATTGGCATTATTGGCCTTGTTGAAGAAGAATGGATTGACACTCTCTCCACCCTCGACCCAGAGGATATGACATTTATTGACTTTGTCGAGGCTGGCAGAAACCTAGGAGGGATCCTTCGGAGAATGGTGAGACACATTGATTATTTTGTCGCTTTTGAGCACAAGGGGGCTATCCCGAAAAATTCTGTTTTGAGAAAAACGAAGGTAAAGTTTTTGCCCCTTGTTCAGTTTCTTTAAAAGACAAGGAGGGTTTTTTTCTGTAACCAAACAAATATACACACAAATGAAACCAAACTTCTCCTATGGGTAGGCCAATGCCCACTTTTGGTGAAGGTCAAGATTTCTGGAAACCCCCGAAAGCTGGGTTAACCCGCTTGTCCTTAAAAGCGACCATTTCAAGAGTGCTGTTTGTCGTGTCATTATTGGTTGTGACTGCCTTCCTTTAAGGTCTCCACCTTACAAAAAAAAATTCATAATTTGAAGGGAGTTCTTTTCAATAAACCACTATTATCTGAAGTACTGTAGATGTTTTCTAATTCAAACAAGTTTTTACTGTATTCAGAGACACTTTTCATATTTCATGTCTCAGTTTAGTAGGTTTTTACTGTTAGTAGGTTTTTACTGAAGTCGGACATTTTCCACTTGTATCAGTTTCATAACAAAATAGTATTATCTTCGTCTTAATGGTACTTGTCTTACTTTTTTTGTCTAACGTGACTTAAACTTTAATTGTATATAAATTTTCTCTCTCTTTTCATGTCTAATGTGAGGTAGTTCTTAATTGCTTATAATTCTGCTGTCACTTTTCATGTCTAATGTGAACTAGTCTTTGATTATATATATAAATTGTTCTGTGATTTTTCATGTCTAATGTGAACTAGTCTTTTATTGTATGTACATTTTTCTGTCACTTTTCATGTCTAATGTGAACTATTCTTTAATTGTATAAATTTTCTGTCACGTTTCGTGTCACATTTCAGGGTGCACAGTTGGTCATTGCTCTGACACACATGCGTGTTCCGAACGACACGCGGCTCGCTGAAGAAGTTGGAGAGATTGACATCATTCTAGGCGGTCACGACCACGATTATGAAATCGTTAAGGTTGAGATGATTTTTGGAATTGTTTCTCATATATTTTAGGCTGAATTTTAAAATTATTTTGGTAATAGAAAAAATGATTGATTATTTTTGTGATATTATTTGCCTTGGTTTGTATAATATTCAGTGACACTATTTCTGGATATTTACAAAAAAGCAAAAGATATGTTGTATGAAAATATTATATTTATGAAAACAGTCTAAAAGTTCTACTTCACACAAAATGAATTGTTTCAAATTTTAAAAGGAAGGCTTTTATCTGTATCATGTGTCATCTGGCTGACAGGCAATGTTTTTCAAAGGTTCGAATCCAGTCTCACCGAGACATGACTCTTACAATGTATGTGTCGTGCATTTGTCCATATATATGCTGCAGGGACCTGTGTCATGTGTGAGGCAGCGTGGTGAAATC